CGTCCTCCGTCCCTCTCCATCTCCTCCCCCCCCCCACCAAACCCGCGGCTGGGGCAGCCCTCACTCCTGCGGTGTTCGCATTTTAACGAGGCCCGCGGTGAGGAAATCCGTTCCCTGTGAGGCCTGCCTGGGCTCGTGGCCCAGTTACAGGCGCGTCCGGAGGCCAAGCCCTTTACTCAGTAGACACCGGGGCCTCCTTCTTCCCTGGCCGTAGAGACCACGCTCTTAGTCAATTGGAAATGGCTGGCCCAGAGCTCTAGCCCTCAAGTGTGGGCCTCAGGATATGCGACCTTTTCCGGCCGGATCCAGTGGAGCCCAAGAGGTCGCTGCATTGCCCCTGCGGGATACAGCTCTCCAGGATGCCCAGGCCTGCCCGCTCCGCCAGCACCAGCCCCTGCAGAGGCCCTGACTGGAGCTGCTGAACGCCGGGATCCCAGGAAGCAGACCGCTCAGGCCTCTGCGTGCGGCGGGGAAAGACCTTTGCGTCCTGGGTGATCTGCCTGGCACTTGGCCTTGTTCCTCCCAGTATGAACCCAGTCGGAGGAGGAAGCTGAGCCTGAGAGGACCGAGAGAGAGCGCACGGGAGAGCGACGGCAGAGCCCTGGCGCTGGCTTCGGAGATACAAGCAAGCAGTTGCCGTCGGCAGCCGCGGCTCAGCGCGCAGCACCCGGGAGGCCGCGCCACCGCTTGCGCTGCGCTCCAGCCACTTCTACCTTTGCGCCCCGCGGTGACTGGCTTTGAGGACTGGGCGTCTGGGGTGGAGAAAAGAGGGAGAGAGAGAGAAAGAGAGAAAGGAAAAGAAAGAAAGGACAGAGGGAAAGAAGAGGGAGGGGGTAGAAAAGGAGAGAGAGGAAGAGAGAGCCAGTTGTCTCCAAACCGGCAGGATCTCGAGGCTGCAGTAGCGGCGCAGCCGAATCAAGTGAGGTGTCTGGGCGGAGGGATCTGGAACTGTCCTTCGGTCTCCTTATTGCTCTCGCACAAGGCCAAGGCAAATTCTAATCTGGCTAGGCCCACGAGATCAACTAACTTGAGTATCAAAAGCTTCAGAGCATTGAAGCCTAGGACCCTTCTCCAAATGGGCTTGGTCCTTACCCAGCTTGTCAGGAGAGTGAAACTGACAGGGACTGTTGAGCTCAGCAATGCTACTGAGAAATGCCACAAAGCTGAGGACTGCCTGAGAAGGGGGCTTTGCCCCTCAGCACTGTCCACTCCTCTCAAGAGAGCTTTGCCCAGTTGGAAGTAGGTCCCAAATACAGGAGAGGGTCCCTTGAGGAGAATGAGCCCCAGCAGGCCAGTGGACCAGGGTTTAGGCCTTTCCAGATGAAGCGCAGAAAGCAACCTCTCCGGGCCACAGGTTGGGAAAGGCTAGTGACCACAGGAGAAAACGCTGGAGATGGTGGAGGTTAAAAAACTAAAGTGAAAGACAATGATCTAAATCTGTCTTTCTTAATCTTTTCAGAAGTTAAGGCCTCTTTGGAAAATCTTAGGCCAAGTTCTCAAATCCTGTGAAAAATGCACATTTGTGCATTCCCACAATTTGACCCATCCTTTCCAAGGAGTTCACAGACCCTTCAAAGCCTTCTCCTTGGGCTCTCCAGAATGTTCCAAGACTCTCTGGGAATTCAGCAGCCCTGTCAGTTTGGTAAGACAAGGTGGGTATCCGGCTGTAGGCAACTCAGTCCCAGTCACGTTAAGGCTCTCTAGGGTGGCCAAATGGGCTTGTTGGCTGAATGGGATCCAAGAGCACACCCGCTCCAACCAAGGTTACAAAAATCAGTTTGATATGGCATTAGCTATAAGAGGGCCATCCTGGCTGTGGAGTAGAGGAGGCAGAAGGCCTGCTGCAGACTCACAAACCATGGCATTGGCACTTGGGTCTTCCTTTGGGGAGAGCCGGATGTTTTTCTCCAGCATCTTCCACCCTCCCCCCACCCTGTTGGGTTTGTGCTGTTTCTTGTTTGGAAAAAAAAAATGTGTAAGCCCTAGTGGGAGCCTCTCACTGGCCCAAGGACTGCCACCCCACCTCCATGCTGAGCCGAGATTGAATCAGGAGCCTGTGGGTGCACCTGGGACCTGGGATGCAGATGGGTCTGCCCCGATGGTTCAGATGGAGAAGATAGCCACACAGCAGAAACTTAACCAAAATGCCTGCTGCCTTCTTTGTCGGTCTCGGTCTTCACCTCGGAGCTCCCAGCATCCCTGACAGCCCCAAGGCTCCACACCCCCCAGACTGTAACAATAAAGTGTTAGCTTCCTCAATAGAATAGTCCATTTATTGATCATCTTGGCTTTCTTGGGGTTCCCCACCCCGAGAGATTAAGAAGAGCAATTCAATTGCAGCACGGGTTGACTTCTGGACACTCTCTCTCCCTCTCACCCATTTGCCTTCTTTCTCTCTCTTTCGCCCTCTCTCCTAGCTGCTGAATTTCTCTCTGGTGGTCAGTATGCCTTTAACCTAAAACTCTCTGGTGTCTGTTTGCTTCAACCAGGCCTGTGCAGCCACCAGAGTCCACATTTTATTTAGGAGTAAATATTGCTCATTTCTACCTGGTTGCTAACACTCCCCTCCCACATGGCTATGGAGCCCAAGTAAATGCCAGGCTGGTAAAATAAGCTCTCCGGCGAGGATTACCATGCGGTTCACCAGATAGCGGATTCCTTCTCCTGAGTAGGCCTTTGCAAGCCATGAGAAATAAACTATTATTACCAAAAAAATCTTAAAAACTAGGTACTGAGATTGAGATAACCAGTAAACAATTTGTATCTGGATGTCACTCTCAATGCTTTTTGTGATCAGAATTATCTGATCGTCTGTGTTGTTGAACTGCGGCCCCAGAGAGGAAAAATAAATGCTATTTCCACATATCCAGCTTTAACAAAAATTCTGGACTTCTCTGATTCATGAATTTACTGCATAGTTAAAATCTGGGGGAGGGGTGAGCAATGACATTCTTTCCCCGTTCATCTTTAACAATGTGAACATTTCCAGGAATATTTCATGTATCTGCTTTGAATCCATCAGGTGCAATCTGTCCCTAAACAACCTGCTTTAAATATTTTTCTAAATCCAACCACTGAACTGGCCCTTCTCTCCTGATGGCAGGAGTGCTGGGACCTTTACACATACACCCCTCAATTGCAATATCCTTAGTTTTGTCCATAATAAACTGCCTCTGGCCTTGAAACTAGAGACAACTTTGGGATTTTAGGGAAGGTTCAGGCTGCAGAGAGCACCGTGTGGGTGGCCACTTCTTGCTTTATTCTATCAGAATTTGGGAGACCATGATCAACAAAGACTCCTGACTATGATCGGCAAAATTTACATGCATACATACATGCTCACACGGGCAGCACCTACTTTGAGATTCCCTTTCCCACACACCCTTGCACTGCTTATTTCTGAAAAGAAAAATAACCATTTCAAGAAATGAATAAAAACATATTGGAACAAAAAATTTAAATATAAGAAGAGGGGGAATTTGAATCTGGCCTCAGAAATGTAAGTGATATCATTATTTTAAACTTGTTTTATGACAACACTGATGGAGGGATTCAGGGCCAGATTTTGAAAATGTATAGGTATTTACCAATACAATTTTTGCATATTTGCAAAAGATCTCATTTTTACATCTAAGAAATTGCTGCAAAACTCCAGCCAGGTTTATAGCGGTACACTCCAAATAAGCAACACAGACTTCTCTGGCAGCCTCAAAAATCTAATGCGACCTTTCTGATTTGGCCTTTTTCGGAACAAAGGTTTCCTCCAGGCTGTGGCGCAAACCTAGAGATCACCTAGTAGGAAACCAGCTACCTCCCAGGGAATAAGCTCGCCCAGCGGCCACGGTTCCTGACCACCTCATTGTTTCCGAGTAGAAACTTTCTGTTTTCCCCAATCCCGCCACCGCCTTCCCCGACCCTCCACAAGCCTGGGACCCTTTTGCTTGGACGCCGTCCATCCCTGATTCATCCCACTCTGAATATTTCTACAAAATCTAAAGATTGCCTTAGGTGAATTGCTGGCGCGGAGGGTTAAAATCGTCAACTTTTCCACTGAGGCCTCCCCCTGCTTTCCAACATTAGGAAGCGATGGGAGAAGGGGGGTGGGGTGGGCTGAGGGCCTATAGCGTCACCCCCGAGCTCACAAACCCAGCCACTTTCCCCAGCCTTCCTCAGACACCGGCCCCACTCCTGCCCCAGCCAGATTGAAATTACTAAACTTGTGGCCTCTTACCTTGACATATTTCCGAATTCACTGCCAAGGGACATCTGGCTTCTCCGCGCCGCGACGCCTGCGACGCCTAGAGAAAGCGCGTTGCTTTAAATTACACCACCAACAACTTCTTGAAGGTGAGCCCCCCCTTTTTTGATACGAAGGAGAGCGGGACAAGTGAAATAATGTAACGTGCTGCTCTTAGTATCAGAAGCGAACAAAGGCCAGGAATCGCGCTGGGGTTCCGGGCTCCCCGGCGGCTTTGACATTGATCGGAAGTGCGCCATCTCGTGGCGGCTGAGCGCCTAGGCCGGGCCCGAAGTCCAGCCCGGAGCCGGGAGACGGGAGAGCAGGCTCAAGGCAGAGACAAGAGGGAGAGAATGTGCCCAGCCCGCTGCTAAAGAGATCTTATTTTTACATCTAAGAAATTGCTGCAAAACCCCAGCCGGGTTTATAGCGGCGCATTCCAAATATGCAAATTGGCCGGCCCCGGACGGGTTTACGACCACATTGTCACAGCCATCGGAGGATGGGCTTTTATAGGGCTCAGAAATCAAACCCGCGCCCGCTTGCCGCCCGCCCTCAAACAGTCCTGGCTAGACTCTCTCTAGCAACTTGCGAGACTTTGGTTAATCTTTAACCGTCCCAAAGGAAGTCTTTCCTTAAATCCTGGACTTCCCTACCCACCCCTCCCCGCCCCCCAGGAGAGTCCTTGTTCACCTCTGTCTATCAACCTAGACATTCATCTTAGGGTCTGTCCCACTCCCCTTTGAGCTTGATTTCCCCAGTCGCGCCAGTTAGACAAACACACAAACAAATAAACAAAACGGGGATCTGGAGTCTGGGGCCTCACTCCAAATTCCACCCTCTCTGCTGCTCTGGTCCTGCCTGGGTGGCTAGGGAGAGAGTTGGGTGGGGTGGAGTGGGGTGGGGTGGGGGTGGGGTGGGCAACAAAAGGCTCTGGCCTTTCCGCCCAGCCCCTCAAGGTTATGTGTGATGTCCAAATTTAAGGCAGAAGTTCAAAGGCAGGAAACAAAAAGGAAACCGGCATCTTTCTTTTCCCAAAGGGAAAAGGCAGCCTCCGCTGGGAGCTAGGGAGAAAGCACCCTTAGAGTCTCCTGAGAGTCTGCTCTGTCTTTGTACCCAGACCCATCTCCCTCTTGCTGAAGTGCTCCCCAGGGCACCCTAGAGTGTTTCCTCTTCAGGCCTCCTAGTTCTGAGGTGAGTGAACTCAGCCTGGGATCAGACCCATTGGCCACCTCAAGCCCCAAAGCTTTCTCCCAGGGATGGGGTCAGTCTGAGAGGATGAAGCCCCATATTCCAAGCCCTGAGATACTCCATTCCTGGGACCCCACTTCCCAAAAGGTCCTGGCCATTCACCTTGGCTTTCTAAACCTGGCTTCTGATGGAGTTAAATCCTAAGTCAAGCTCCATACCCCCTCAGGGGCCTAGTGACTAGCCCCTTTCCTGAGTGGGGTGGGTGATAGTGCTGGGGGGGCAGACATTTGGCAGTAAAAGGTGAACAGGGAGAGGAATGTCACACCAGGACCCAATACTCAAGTTTCCACAGTCATTTTCCTTGTGCCCTGTTGCCTGTATACATGCTGTGACATACGCGGTGAGTGAGAACCGAGGAACAGGCCAGCACTCCCGTTACAAACAGAGCCACCAGATACTTCTTAACACAGGGAGGCAGAGGAGATTTAATGGGAGGGTGCCTGGCTTTCTCAGCTGAGATCCCTAGACCCTGGTGGGCCAAACTATCTCAGACCATCTCCCTAATGCTTTTCAAGTATTGCAAGAAATTAAAAAGACCATTCCCAATGCCTTTTCTGCCCCCCTCCAACACCCCAAAGGAAATCAGCTAATGGCAAAAAAAAAGCATTAAAATAAAATAGGTTATAGTTCCTTTATTTACAAGTCTTTTGAATACCATCCCTGTATGAAGTGTACATTCAATTATTCCTAGCAGTGAGTGAGTTTAACCGTGGAACACTGTAAACAGATAGAGCCTTTAAATATTTTCTTCATCATCTTTCTCCCCCCCCCCCACATTGCATTTTTTAAAATTCACTTTGGTTCCTGCAGGGAAATATATATATATAATATAATATTTATCTTTTAAAATAATTCCAAATCACTCCTGAGCTCTTGGAAGGTCACCAGAAGCTTCCAAGCTCAGTTCTGGGGTGGTGAAGAACAGAGTACGGAGTGGGAACTGAGTGTTTGGAGGAATTGGGTCCCTCATAGATGGGGACCGCTGGCCAGGCCTGCTGCTCCGTTGAGCAAATCCAAGCTTGAATTAAGTGTGGAGTAGACTTTGCCAAGCTGCCGCACTCCACAGGCATTTCCTGCAGAGATCTCAGGGCCAGTAGCCTGGGTGCAGCTTCTCAGGGTTTTTGATGTCTTCCACCTCAGGGAACGGTCTGCTGCTCTGCAACCAGGCTTTAGGCTCGAGTGGCAGGCCCGGACGAAGACCCTCATCGGTAGGAAAAACTAGGTGGGCCACAGAAGGCAATTGCTGGAAGCTCAGGCCTGGGACAATGCGGTAAGTGACCGGAGGGGTGGAGAGCCACTAATGGCACCTGGAATAGATTTTTTTTTTCCTTTAATGATCAGCAGCCCTCTCCCACCTCACAGGCACCTCTTAGTCAGTCATCTTTCACATTGGTTTAGGAAAGCAGCCCCAATCCAGACATCTAGGAATCCACCCCTCTTCCTTCTGCTCCTGTCCTCAAGCTGAATTGGGTTTGGAGATCTTGACACAGGGGTCCTGGGGGGTGGGCAGGCTCCATGTGGAGGGTCCTGGGCAGGGGTCACTCTCCAGGGGGCCTGGCAAGGAGCCCAGTCCCTGCTGGAGACCACACCCAGCCCGAAGCTCCGCAATCTCCAAGAGTGAACCACCAGGGGTCCCAAACCATTCATTTTAGTTGATGTACAACTCTCTGAATCCAATTGTTGTTAGAAATCTTAACCACAGATCCCCAGGAGAGTCCCAAGCTGCCTCCTTCAGGGCTGTCTCCGTGTAGCCTCCCCTCTCTTGCACATCTCCTTTCTTCAAAAGTCACTGCGTGCCTTGACCTTGTCAAGGACAAAATCTGCATATAATCTCAAGTGTCTGAAACCCCCCACCCAATTCCAGCTGGCTGGAGACTTAGAGGAGTGGGTTAGCTGAGTAATACTGTAAACGGTCCCTATTAATTTTTTTTCCTTCATTCTCCTGTTCTGAAACCAGATTTTGACTTGACGGTCGGTGAGGTTGAGCATGCGAGACAGCTGCAGGCGCTTCTCTTTGTTGATGTACACACTGAAGAAGAACTCCCGCTCCAGCTCCCGGATCTGGTACTTGGTGTAGGGGCAGCGCTTTTTTCGGGTTCGTTGGCCACCTGTGGAGGGAGAAGGAGGCAGGGAATAAGCCAGGTGTGGTGGCTGCAATCCATCCCAGGGTCCCAAGTAGAGGAAAAGGGCTGGCCCCAGGGACTGGAGGCCCTACCCAAGCCCCATCATGGTCTCCCCCAAGGTCCCTGACTTCAGGCTCCTACTGCTGGCTGGGGACAGGCTGCAGACGGAGGCTCCGTCCCAGATAAAAGCCAGCTCCCTAGATAGGCCCCCAGGGAAGCTGCTTACTCTGCCCCAGAGCAGAAAGGAGGTCTCCCCACTGCAACAGGAGAATTTGTGCTGCGGAAACCGCTTTCAAAGCAGCTGAGTGGGGGTTGCCGGCTGCCTTCAGCCCAGCCAGACTAAACAAACAGACGACCTCGGACATTTCACCTTCCAGCACCTGGGCGGCTGGGTCCTGAGGCAGTAAAGGCGGCCCCAGCCCCAGTCTTTCCCGGCTGCGGCGGGACTCGGCCCTCGTTAACTTCTGGGGCAGCTGCCATGTCTTTGTCAGCCTGAGTCCTGGACACCAGCTCCTGCCTCTCCAGCCAGCGTCCTGGCTTCTGCGAGGTGGGGAGGAGACAGCAGGAGCCCCCTACCCTGGGCCTTCCCTGAGCACCAAGGCCACACAGCCATCCTGGTTCCCTGGCAGGACCGGGGTGCTGTTTTACATAGGAAGAGGGGCTTCCCAAAGCTGTGAGCAGGCTCAACTTGCTCCCCTTTCCATAAAATTCCACAAGAAGTAAAGAAAAAAAAAACCCGCTTTTGACAGATTGAATAACAATTGTAACATGCAGTCGGACAGAAGGCAGCACATAATTGCCACCGCGCCGGAGGAAAATGGCTTCCTTTGGACAAAAAGGCCAACTTTGGGTTAATTTGTTTCTTTTAATATATTGCTCGAGCTAAGCGGGCTATTTTATCTGTTAAACACGCTTCTAGCGCCATCGTTAAACAGCGATGCCTTTGAATCCCGGCCGGGACTGGAGTCCCGGCGCAACACATGGCTTTTATAAAAATCTCCGGATTACCTCGCTATCAAAGGCTCCCGAGCCCTTGCAGGGGGAATTTACAGGCGCCCACCTCCGGCTCCCCAGCCCCGAGCTGGCCCCGACCGGGGTCGAGCTGCCGGGCTTGGGAGCTGAGAAAGGAAAAAAAGGGGGAAAAGGGGGTTTTTTTTTGCAGGCATGCCTTGGCCGGTGGGTATTTCACGGCCAATTTCAGCACTCGCCACGTGATCCCGCCTTTTATAACAAAGTTTTGTTGGGGGAAACCTAAAGGCCCTTCATAAACCTTACTGAGTCGGAGA